GTTTTTATCAATGTTTTTAGTCTTTTAAGTCATTTTTCCTTCTGTAAACACTTCATTATTTTATATAAAGATGGTTTATTCATATTTTGAGGAGAATATGGAACCAACTACGGACGCCTCACGTCAAACAGAAGTCTTTGTTCAGGGTGGTGTAAGCACAACATTTAGAGCTTCTCAGACAAGAAGGTTTGAATATAACAATTTATTTTAACAGTAGCCGTCGAGGAGATTTGGTCCCCTGGTTTAAAAACAGTACAACAGTATTCATATCCAGTTTCAGCTCTTCAAAATGAAAAACAAACATCAGCAAAGTGTCTTTCGGTTTACCGTGTACGTATAGGATGGCAGTCCTACAGCACGAAACTAGTCACACCCATTATTTAAACAGTGAAGTTCTGCACTTTGTTCCCGTTCAAGTCGTTGGTTTCCGATCACGAGGCATCCAATGGAAATAGAAAATTATAAAAGGCATATACGCACAAAAATAAAACGTCTAGTCCACGATTCTCAACCTTTGGACTTTGGTTTTTAAAAATATTTCTAACCGGGGTCTCGTTTTAAATATTGTACATTTAAAAAACAAATTCAGAATTTTTTTTTTTCCAAACGTCTTGTAAAAATGATTTCGCAGAAATGGCTTTAAGTGTTTGAGACTGTTTGAAGAGGCACAAATCAAGAGCTCAGCAGAGTTCACACTAAACACGGCAGCGACTTTTTAAGAAGAAGGGAAAAAAAGCGTCTAAAAAAGGAGGAGGAGGAGGAGGAATGGCAAGAAGAAGTCCAGGGAGGTGTCCATGGCTGCCGTCCTGTTGGCCCAGAGCAGGGAGCTCAGTTTACGCGTCCTCTTCCTCCTCTTCGTCCTCGTAGTATCGGTTACGTTTGATCATCTCCTCCACCGTCAGCGCCTCCTGCTTCTCCTTATCGTCCACCTCCTCGCTGTCCCAGAAGCCCACGTCCTGAGACGCCCGGCTGGCCTCCGCCTCCTCCTCGGGGGACGAGATGGCCGTCGGCTCGTTGGCCGTCATCTCCTCCTCCAGCAAACCTCCGTCTTCCTCCTCCTCCATCTGCTCCTCTTCAGCTCCTCCTCCTGCGACATCGTCTTCTGTGGTGAGATGATGGTCCGTCGCCTCCTCGCTCTTCATCTCCTCCTCTCCTGAGCTGGTGTGAACGTCCACACAGCTGTCCTCGGTGGGCGTCTGGCTGTTGGACGAGTGCTCGCTGTGCTGCAGCTCCATGCTGGAGGGTTCAGGGCTGAGCTGCCGGTCCACGGCAGCAGGAGGTGGACTCGGTTTTCTGGCCTCGGCAGCAGGAGGGCTGCTGGGTTGAGCTGCCAGAGTGAAGGCCAGGCTGCGCTCCTTCAGGGAGGAGCTCCGGCGGAGGCAGGGGGAGCCTCTGTCCTGCTCCGGAGGTGAAGATGGAGACTCGTCCTCTGGGGGCCACTTGGCTTTGATGGGCTTCCCTGCGGAGCCTCCGTCTGGGGTCGTTGTAGGCGCTTCCTCCGGCTCCGTCCGTGGAGGCCAGGAGATCTTCAGCCTGCGGGTCTCTGCAGGTTTGTCAGCTTTCTCTGAGGATCCTTGTCCCAGAGCCTCCATGGTGGCCATCAGGACGTTGACTTTAGCCAGCGGGGAGTCCTCCACGCTGGGGCTGTCCAGGTCTGAGGCCGGGCTCTGGGTCTTTGGCTTAGTCTGGGGGACGGACGAAGGCGAAGTCTCCCCGCTGTCGCCTTTGCTCTCCCACAGCTCCTTGTGAGGTCGGTGGCCGAAGCCCTCGTCGTAGTTGCCTTTGGCCTTGAAGAGCTGGCAGAAGTGCGGCTTGCAGTAGACGTTGTTGTGCAGGGAGGCGTAGTTCGCCAAACTGGACGAGAAGAACAACAAAGAGAGACGCTGGTTAGAAACCCGACACTCTGAGACATCATTCATGCAATCAGATGTTAAAACCTCCTTCTATTTAAAACACGTCTTCTTTGCAGAATGACTCTTCAGCTGCACCCGTATGTAGAAGTTTCAAAATAAGATCAGAGTCTAAAGTTCTTTTTTTTTTATTTGTATTTAATATAAAAACTTTCATATATTTATTTATTTATTTATTAGACATGCCGTGAAATGTTTCAAGGCTTTTTAACATTTTTATTTTGATGTTTATGGCTCATGAAAATTAGAAATCCAGTATTTCAGCTTATTAGAAAGATATAAATGTCGTTCATTTATACACCAGATACTCAGTCGGAGCTCATTTACTGCGTCAGTCTGCGGCACTAACATCTAAGAAATGCAGAATATATGAAAGTTTACCTTTTTGAATTCACTTTTTACGCCATTTTAATTGTTTGAGCTGCACAAGAGAGATGCAGGAGGACAAACATGTTGTGTTCAGCAGCTATAATACATTTCCAGAGTATAACAAAGGCTGTTTTCTGAAGGTGAAATGTGAAGATATCCCTGTGATGCCTCACATGCATCAGTAGACGGTAGCTAGAGAGAAGCTTCTAGTCTCCACTCAGGTGCTGCACTGTCACTCAGGTTTTTTTTTTTTTTTTTAGTTTTAATTAGTTTGAAAAGCGTAAAATGAGCCGTTTCAAAAACCAAAATTGTCCCAAAGCGGAGCCCTCAGTTCATCTGGTGTGACTATGAGTTCAGCACTGAGGCTAAACTACCGTGGAATAATGCATGAAGCGCTGAAGTTGGAATAATTAGTGTTTTTTAGATCTTGCTCTGCTAAAAACTGTTTGGAAATATTACATAAAAATAAATGACATGTTGTGTATGTAAGTTATCGCATTTTATCCAGTGAACATGAGCCTTTAAAAAGCACTTATATTTTATGTCTAATGTACCTCTAGTCCCCGCTCAGGTACTGCATCACAACTACTGATATATTTGACCATTTTAAAGACCAAAGTGGTCACACTCTGGAGCTCGGAGTTCCTGGGAGTTTATCTGAGGTGACTACGAGGTTAGCGCTGAGGCTAAACCACCTTGGAATGAAGCTTCAGAGTTAACTTGTATTTTATTTTTCACTTTCTCGGATGCGACAAAACGCTCACCTGAGTTTGGTGTTGCAGTGCGAGCAGCGGAAGCAGGAGCTGTGGTAGACGTGCTGATTGGCCACCAGCCTCTCCAGAGGATAGACCGTCTTCAGACACGACACGCAGGTTTCCCTCACCGGCAGGCGGAAGCTCTGCACCGACGAACAGAGTAGATTCATGAGGAATGACTGGTGTGTTCAAAATGAAAACTAAAATGGCTGCATGTGGGAGACTCTGAAGTCCAGGTTCTTTGGTCTCATGAGACTAAAACTGAGCTTTTTTGCTTTCGGATCGGAGCAAACACACCACCCCCACTGTGAAGCACGGCGGTGGCAGCATCATGTTATATCAAAACAAATATGGCATGTCGTGTATGTAAGTTGATGTGTACATTTGAAAAGCATTTTTATTCTGCTATCACAATAAGAGAAGGTATTAAAATATGTTAAATGTACAAACGAAGAGACTTGATGTTTTATGAAATTAGGCAGAAAAGCATAAATCACACGGAAAATGGAAATAATCCAATATTATCAATCTTTAACATATAATATATATATATATATAATAGTTGACACTCACTCTGGGAGTCTTGGCCTGAGAAGAGTCTTTCTGACTGGAGGAAGCAGCAGCACCAGGACCAGAGCCTTCAGGAGCACAAAACATCAAGTGTAAGAAAAGGCAGTGATGCAGAGTGACCACTAGAGGGAGCCAATCTCACATTTAATAAAAGCAGTTTCACTTAAATGAAGATGCTCAGGAGTCCAGAACAGAGCAGCGTGTAGACGTTTGAAACTAAATAAATGTAAATAAAACGCTGAGAGAACTTGAGGTGTGAACTGCAGCCCCTCTAACGTGACCTGGACTTTTTCTCTCTCCTAATAAGAAACCATCATTATGTGAAGACATGGAGGGCGAGTTACCGTTGCTCTCTGAGGTCAGGACTCTCCTGCTGTTGGGTTCAGACTCTGGACTCTGAAACAATAAGATCACAAGAACCACATCAGAAACAGTCGCGTGTTTGGCTTCACAGACGAGCCAGGCGGCCAAACGTCCACCGTGTGAGCAGTTTATAACCACGTAGCCGAGCAGAAAGTGATGCTGAAGTGCTTTTTGTTGAATCCTTACCAGCTCCAGGTTGAACGGAGGAACGTTTTCCTTCTGCTTCCCACAGAAACTGTCCAGCTGATCAGTCTGAACGACGCACAAGAGACAAGACAGGAAGTTAAAGGAATATAAAACACTTGTTCTTAAACATTTCAGTGTCTGTGGCCTTTTTATTTGCTCATGCTGCTGTGATCAGATGCCTCCTGAGATAGTTTGAGTGATTGAACGCCGCAAAACCGTCACCTTTTAAAGAGGGCGATCATTTTGCAGAATTGTTAGAATAGTTTCCATCCACCTAAAATAAACTATAAAATCAGCTTGTCTGAAGATTCTCAGTCATCCAGGTCATGGTTATCCTCGTAGGTTAATCATAGACACTGGACTTGCTTGAGTTCCTTGAAGACATTCCACCTCTCATCCAAGATGCTTCATCAGCTCTGACTGACTAGTTGGGAGTTCCACATACTGATATATATATCTGAAACCCAAACTCAGGTGTTAATGTCTCCTTCAGGATATCAGTATCTGGAACTCAAAGATGCCTTCAGAGGAACTTCAGATAAACCAGTATTGTGCTTGTATTTTTTTCTGATTGTTTTTTTCTACTACATTTATTCTGTAAGTTGTAAATAAACTTCTGTGCTGCCTGGAGAACGTTACAAAGGCTCATTAGGTCAACTTAGTGTGACGTGTATTCAGATTTTAAAATAAGTCAAAGTTGAAGCAGCCATGTTGCAAGTTTTGATGTAAAGAGCAACGCAAAGTCCTACAATTCCCATCATGCAACCTGACAGCACCATCTGTCGCCAGTTTTATTGTTAAAAATCTGAAGCCTTGCAGCCTGAACAGCAAATATTCACAACAAAAGAAGACACTGCAGGGCTGATCTGATGGGTAGAAACACAATAACTAGATCCAGGAAGTGTTGCTTGGTGTTAAAATGTGCCGACAACCACTGGAAAAAAAATAAGGCAACGCAACTACAAACTGTCGACCCTCTGACTGACTTCTAGGATCTGCTGGAGGCGACCAAAGCTGAGATGAAAACCAGGATTAATTCATGAGCTTTTTCTGCCTGGAGTTACAGTGAAACTTCTTCAGTGGAGTTTAGTTGGATGGAGGTTCCTTCTAGAGCCGCAACTAACGATTATTTTACTTGTTTTGTCCAAAGATACTCAGTTTGCAGTCATAGAGGAGGAAAGAAACCAAAAGACGCTGCAGTCATTCTACAAAGTACAGCCACATGTGGCAGCAGACTGACGGCCAAATCTAAATCAATTAATAGGCACAATCCTGGAACGTCTTGATTGCACCTTGTAATGGAGTAAAGTGCAAATTAATCAGGGTCATGTTGAGATAAATGGTACCACCTTTAACACCTTCGTAGATCAGACGTGGAGGCATCGGAGCACTGGGACGGTGTAAGGAATCCGAGCACTGACCATGAACTGCAATATTCCTGCAGTTTCTAATAAAAAGACATAAAAACGCCCCTAAAGAGACTCACGGTGACGGCGGTAGGGGTGACTTCCTGTTTGGAGATGGCCGCTTGGTAGAGGGCCATCCTGTCGCGGAGAGGAGTGGAATCTGCAAGACTTCCATCTGGAAAAACACACAGAACAGAGGAGTTTAATAAAAGTAAATAGTGATGATAAGAAGCTGCAGCCCATCGGTCCCTCTGGTTTGAAGGAGCCTTTCAAGTGACTCAGTAAAAGTCCTTTTGCTTGCTTGAGAACTCACAGTTGCGTCACCGGTTCAGTGCATCATCGCTTTTGTTTTTTACAGTTTGCTGAATGTCGGGAACGCTCGATGAACGCTGCATGACTAGACAAGTGGGGGATTTTTTTTTTGTTCCATCGCGGTTCACACCGAGTGCAGATTGTGCCGCTCGGTCGTGCAGGCCGCTGACGGGAACTCGAGGTCAGGAGTCGCGAGTTCGCCTCTTCCTGTGTTGTGCTGACCACAGCGTTTACTGAGCAGCCGCTGGCGTCGCTTCTGGGAAGGATGTAATCCATCCAGAGGAAGGCAGGACACGAGTTTTGTTTGTGAAAAGTATCAGAGAACAAGGCTGGAGGCGCAGATAAAGCGACTCCAACAAAGACATGGTGAACGTGAGATGTTTTTGTCTTTTCCATTTGGTTTTAAAGTGTCCATCGTTTTCACGTTATCCACTCTATGGAGTACTTGAGCTTTTATTTAGCTTGTTATCAGTTTCACAGCCCATAATGTTAGTCATTCATTTACTTTCAAGAAAAATGACAAGATGTTGGCTACACAGCGACCAACTGGTGGAGTGTTTAGCAGCTAAAGAGCCAAATATTTTCCTGAGGAACTGGCAGAGACCACAACAAAACTGAAAGAGACCGAGAACTGGACTTATGTTCACCAGATGGCCACAGACTGCATCCAAATGAATGCTAATGTGGCGTAAGTAAGGTGGTGATATATCAGTGTCTGTGCAGCTCGTTTCTGCTGCCCTCAAGTGGATAATAGACTAAACGTAAGTTCATAAAACTAGAACCAGATAGATCTGCACCTCATAGCATGTTGTTCAATTATATGTCATTAATCCTCTGAACTCCAAAATCCAGCAGGGAGTTTGAAAAGTATCTCATCTTTAAAAAAAATTAAGAAATTTGGGAACTGGGTGATTTTGTTTTTAGAGCCAGAAACTACAACAACAGACAGAATCTTTGGATTTAAACGTTCCTACAGTCCTTAAATGTGTCGTGTGTTGGTTCCAGTAGGAAAAGTCGCCAAAACGAAGCCTAACAGGTTTCATCAGAATCACTTAATTCCCTCTGTCTCATTGAAAACAAAACAAAAGATGATTAATTTACACCAGATCCTGCTCGTCAGTGAAGCAGCTACGAGTGCCCAACGATGACCAAATATTCCTGTTGGAAACCGAATCAAATGTCAGCTTTAAATTGTGACGCTTCACTAAAATCACTTTTAAAAATTTGGCCAAAAATGGATCATTTGCTCCAAACAGATTCTGTCAATAGATCAATTTTGCACACGTCATCATTGATTCAGCTGAAAATGTTTCCACAGAGCAGAGAGGAGACAAATTAGAGATTTAGAGAAACATAAAATAAACCTAATCAATAAAATCAACACTGTATGGCTTAAAAATGGCACACAGAAGAGCAAGTTGTTGGACGATACTTGCGACATGGTGAAACATCTGTCTGGAGCTGATGTGCAGGTTAGAAAAGTGGTAAATATCTACAGTATGTGGCTCCAATAGTGCTGTACAGGTTTTTGTAAAATAAATAATAAGAAATTCAACTTTTGTTTTTTTTTTCTTTTTTGATGATTTATGGCAGAATAAACTTTCCCAAAGACCTTCTTAGTTCTGTCTCCTCCTAGTCGTGGTTGTGTTGTTTCCACTGAGGTGCAGGACTTTCTACAGCCGTGAATGATGAGTCACAGAGAGGAGAAACGTGACGGCAGCAAAAAGCATCCACCTCATAACCGTAACTAATGCATTAACAAACCGTCAGCAGATGGATTAAGATGCTCCATAGAACTGAAGGAAGCTTCACATTAGACACAGAAAATACTGACAGCAGCAGATTTTAAAGAAAAAAAACCCTGAAAAACACTGGTTGAGTATCTGCCTGATAGTTAACTGGAAATGGTGCATTACAGCAGCTTTCCTGTTCTGCTGGACAACACTGGATGCTTTCACCTTGGAGTCCGAGGAGTTTAATAATAGACAAGACAGTTGTTACACGTCCCTGGTTCGGGTGAAGTTCAAGTTCAAGCTGGTTGCATGTGGTTTCCCACCTCTGTCTTTTAATTTCCAGTCACTGCGCTCATAAAATATCAAGCATTTGCCCCAAAAGGCCCTTTCAGAATAAATGTAATGCTTGTACCTCCTAGTATCTGGTCCATGTTGGCTGAGTTCCCGTTGCTTCCTCTACTCGTCGCCTGCAAGGGGAAAAAAAAACGACAACAAAAAAAACATGATTAGAAATGTAGAAAACAAAGATATTTAAAGAAAACACAGACATTTGATGCTCACATGTTTCAGAGCAAACAGGCTGGAAGCTGCATCGTCCATCAGGAAGATCAAAGCAGAAAGAGAGGAGGCTAACGTGAAGACGAGCGAGCTAAAGTGTGTGAGTGTTTGTCCTGCACAAACCACTTAATCCCCTAATGAGCTCAGAGACCGAGGCTGAGACAGACTGTCTCTCCACAGCTGCCAGAAAACAAACCATTACTTCTCCGTTGTGCCCGTAGACTAATGTTCAGACCTTCACTTTACAGACTTCAACTGCAAAAAAAACGAGATAATTCAAACGGGTTCTCTCCATCAAACTCAGACCGGACAAACAAACAGCCAGAGCTTTACCCACACAGGAGAAGAGCAGCGGCTACCTACCCAAAGAAACAAAGGCTTTGTCATGACAAAGGAGTATAAAGCACTCCTACTGAGGCTTGTGCCAGCTTCTCTACAGCATGAGAGCGCTTCATGTACAGATTACACAACAGGTCAAACACAGCCTCCACATTTAGCCTTCAGTCTGCACCTGCTCAGGAGATCCACCTCTGAAGG